CATTAAAGCCCAATACGGTTCATAAAGCCCAGTACTTCCATTAAATCCCAATACGATCCATTAAAACCCAATACGGTCCATTAAAACCCAATACGGTCCATTAAATCCCAATACGGTTCATGAAAGCCCAAAATACGGTTCACTAAAGCTCAATACGGTTCATTAAAGCCCAATACGGTTCATTAAAACCCAATACGGTAAATTGTTAATTCTTTTTTTTTAATTATTTAATTTTCCGCCGGAAATGGTAATTTTTTTTAGAAAAATTATTTAATTATCCGCCGGAAATCCGCCGGAAAATTATTAATTTTTTTTTTTAAAATTATTTAATTTTCCGCCGGAAATCCGCCGGAAATGGTAAATTTTTTTAGAAAAATTATTTAAATATCCGCCGGAAATCCGCCGGAAAATTGTTTATTCTTTTTTTTAAAAAATTATTTAATATTCCGCCGGAAATCCGTCGGAAATGTTAAAATTTTTTTAAAAATTATTTAATTTTTCGCCGGAAATCCGCCGGAAAATTGTTTATTCTTTTTTTAGAAATTTTTTTATTTTTCCGCCGGAAAAGGTTATATTTTTTAAAAATATATTTAATTATCCGCCGGAAATCCGCAGGAAATATGTTAATTCTTTTTTTTTTAAATTATTTAATTTTCCGCCGGAAATGTTAAATTTTTTTTTAATTTTTCCTCCGAAAATCCGCCGGAAAATTGTTTATTCTTTTTTTAGAAAATTTTTTAATATTCCGCCGGAAATGTTATATTGTTTTCTTAAAAAATATTTAATTATCCGTCAGAAATCCGCCGGAAAATTGTTAAAAAAAATTTTAAAGAATTTTTTATTTTTCCGCTGGAAATCCGCCGTAAATGTTAAATTTTTTAAAAAAATTAATTAATTTTCCGCCGGAAAATTGTTTATTCTTTTTTAAGAATTTTTTTTTATTTTCCCGCCGGAAATCCGCCAGAAATCCGCCAGAAATGGTTATATTTTTTTTTAAAAATATGTAATTATCCACCGGAAATCCGCCAGAAAAGTGTTAATTTTTTTTATAAAAAATTAAAAAAATCAGCCGGTAAAATGTTGTAATTAGATGTAAATTCAAAATTAAACTGAGTACTTAAGAAATCCGCCGGAAATCGTTGAAAATCAATAAAATGTTGACTTTTTAGTGTCCGCCGGAAATCCGCTGGTAATTTACCCGCGGATTTCGTCCGCCGGAAATGGTCACTTTTCTAGTAGTGATCTTTATCCCAATCTTTCAATTTCTCACTAATGTGGGATATCTCAAACTCAACCACAATTCACCAACTCCTCAATACTCAATTCTCATGATGTCATCTCTATACCTCTTGGGTTTTTCCTTTAATATATATAATATTTAACCCTTTCACCAACATCTAAATACTCAATTTCCATGTTATCAACTCAATACTTCTTGGTACTTCTTTTATTATATATATATATATATATATATATATAATTATAAACACAATTCATTTTATATAATAAGATTTGTTTTGCAACAAATAAGGTCATCCACTTAAAATAACATTATGAGTCAACCTTTGGAGTTGACACAATGAATCTCATATTCTTTCTTATACACACATTCCTATCTCATTTTTTTCTCACCAATGTGGGATATTTCAAACTCAAGCACAATTCACCAACACTTCAGTACTCAATTCTCATGATGTCATCTCAATATCTCTTGGGTTTTCCTTTAATATAATCTTTTACCCTTTCACCAACATCTAAATACTCAATTCCCATGTTATCCCTTCAATACCTATTGGTACTTCTTTTATTATTATATATATATATATATATATATATATATATACTATATGTTCCTGACATTTTATGGGCCCTGGACGAACGTAAAAACAGGGCCCACTACAAGAAACAAGACTTGTAGCAACGACTTATGTCGTCGCTAAAAGTCTATTTATCATCAGAAAGAGTATATACCAATATGTCGTCGTTATAACTTATGGTGGAAACATGTCATCGCTAAAAGTTGCATTGTCAAAGCTCACTTTTCTTGTAGTGACTCTCGGTAAGTACGAAGAAAATTCAAAAAATATATTTCATTAGTATAAAATTGAGTTCAAGAAATGCTAATAATTTATTGAGAAAAGAAATCTTATTTATCTTATTATAGATATATAAGAGAATACTTAATTTTTTTTTGATTAACCTAGATATCCAACCCGTTATGTGAGCTGACTAATCCCAAGGCAACCACCTGCTTTACAGGTAGCCCGGAGTCACCGCATTTGAACCTTCGTGGCCACAAGGAGATTTTTGTTTCTTCTTGGATTTGAACCTGGGACCTCCAGACACTTTTCACCTTTGGAGCCAAGCTCAAATCAATCAGGCACCACCCTTGTGATTACTTAAATTTACGTACTTCTTATTAAGTAATTTGAAACCAATAATATAAAAACTATGGTTGATAAATTTTTATAAAAAGTAAGAATATTTTTAGTTCATAACAAGAAATATGTGTTATTTTAATACAAAAAGAGAATTCGTGTGAATGAAGTAATCGTGAGGGTCAATGAGAGATCAATAATAAAGAAGATTATCAAAGTTTTCTAGACAATTAGACAAATGAARATCAATAAGAATATGAAAGAAAAGATGATTCATTGAGATCTAATAAGAATAAATAATGAATTAAACATATAATATGCAATCTCAACAAATGATTGTTTGAGTACTTAAATAGAATTTTGTAGTGCGATGGAGTCCCAATGAAAGATATATAAGTCAAACAATTGATGAAAATATTAAAAAAAAAAATTTGCTCAACTAAAATAAGATGTTAAGATTAAAAGTTTATGGAATATGACATATATAAGAGACATTACTAAATACATCAATAGAAAAAAATTATTGATTAATCACAAAACTATGAAACACATCATAAATTAAAAGAACAATAGATTGATTGTCAAACAATAGTAAAATATTTTATGTAAAAGCAAAAATAGATAACAATAGTCAACAAAAACAATTAGAACAACATAACCAAAAAACAATAGTCAATAGAAGCAGAAATTGATAAAAATATCCAACAAAAATATATAGCAATAACAAACACATGATCTTAATGTTGAATTGTTGAAGCATGAAAACAGTCAATCACATAGAGATAACAATAATCAATATCATTGGACCTTGTTGAAGATAAAAAAATTAGAGGGATAATAAACAGTAGCATATAATGAATGACCAATTAATTTTTTTATTTTCTTCTCTAATATAATTAGTTGATATATTTTTGGGCCCTTAATATGTATTAATTTTTTTTTGCTTCTTATTATATGTTACAACTTTTTGGGTTTTTTTATTTCATTAAATTCTTTTAAACTACTATTGTATTTTTTTAAAGAAAAAATTTGGGCCCCTGATATTTTTGGGCTCTGGGCGTGCGCCCGTGTCGCCCTCCCCCAAGGACGGCCCTGTTCTTTCTTATACACACATCCCTATCTCATTTTTTTCTCACCAATGTGGGATATTTTAAACTCAAGCACAATTCACCAACACTTCAATATTCAATTCTCATGATGTCATCTCAATATCTCTTGGGTTTTCCTTTAATATAATCTTTTACCCTTTCACCAACATCTAAATACTCAATTCTCATGTTATCCCTTCAATACCTATTGGTATTTCTTTTATTATATATATATATATATATATATATATACTATATTATAAAGCATTTGACAAAAACTCTTAAAACCCACTTTTTATACGTAAAGTACTGTTTATTAATACATATTACTTAAAACTCAAGATTGCAAGTACATTGTGCATAAGTACAACTTATTAAAGCTTCATAATCTGAATTCGTGTAACTAACTGCAGATAAACATAATCAAATACA